TAACTTAATAAAGTTGCCACGCCACTGTATTGAAGTACCTATATGACACTTTTCTTTATTTAAATCTTTAAGTATATATAAATATCTTTAAATATATATAAACTCGTATGAATAAAATTGTCATCTTAAATATCATTAATATTTTAATTTATCAGTATTTACTAACCGTCTGATAGAAACAAAAACGGAAAAATCATTAGGATTAAGGACTATGGGTGGGTAGTTGGAGTCTGCTGACTTTATCCCATTTGGCTATCCTCAGATATGATTCAATTATTTACTTACAAATACAGCATATGCATTTAATAGGTGCTTCATTACTCCAAATAAACTTACTATTTGAAAATTGTAATGTTTTTATTTGTCAGCAAATTTAACAAAGTCCATAACTCGGTTAGGTTAGATTATCAAGATAACTTTTCGCAGTTCTATAACAGTGGCTTATACATTAATATCACAAATAGTATTTAATCATAAACTTACAACCCCATAGGCCACAATATAAAATGTAACTTAGCTCACCTAGTTTAACTCTGTAGCTTGGAGGCCCAATCCGACCACCAACATGGCCTATTGAGTAAAAATGTAATCTGGGGAGGTGATTGTCCCCTCACATATTTAACTGAGTGGAAAATAATGTCTTTTTACCTTATAGAGTTTTAGTCTTAATATAAGCCCCCCTCCCCAAGAATTTATCTTAGATTATACCTATATTATTATTGAGTATCGGTATTGGTATAGATAATAGATTAATAGAATATAAGTTAGGTATATCTACTATTTTATTAAACTACATAATGTTATTATTTTATGTAWCATTAGTACAATTATTCAAGTAATTTAATTGTAAATGAATCAGGTTAATTTTTCAAATTAAAATATTTAAAAGAATAAATAAGGTGACAATGAAACTGTATTTTATTTGATCCTACATTTATAATCATAAAAAATCTATCACTTCAATATTTGGTAGTTTAATGATGGAAGTTAGCTTTTTCAATTATTTCATTTTTATTTACAAACTATTTTTGTAACACACAATTTATTATTTTTGAGAAMWCCAGAACACTCAAGTACCTACCTCACATTTAGACTACACTTTTATAGACTTTAGTTCAACTAAAAAATATACAATATGCTTATGTAAATGTTAGTAATGAGAATGGCCAGCTATAGCCCTGCTAGTTACCTCCTCACACAGCATTAACACCACTGGACAATAATACTATAAAAATATAAAATGCTTATTACATTACCTGCTATCGCTATTATTTATTAAAGATGTTCGAATGCTTTTCTCGCAGCCCTGTTTGTAGTTTCGTAGTGGCGAGAAAAACTATGACGATAGGTAAACACTAATAACACTATAAACACG